CCCCGGATGCAATTGAGGTTAGTGTGGGATTCCCCTTAATGCGGCGCGCTATAGGCATTTCCTATTGCGCAATTGCAATTCAAATGGGATTCCCCTCACTGCGTCGCACTATTAGAATTTTCCGCACCATGACCCTAGCACAGTTTGTGTAGAATTTCCCATATTGCAGCGCACTATGGGGATTCCCTATACGCAATAGAGATTCACTTGCGATTCCTCCCACCACAGTACAATTGAGGTTGGTGTGGGAGTCCCCGTATTAAAACGCACTGTGGGGTTTGCCTACTGCGCAACTAAGATCTATATGGGATTCCCCCTCATGTTGGGCCTGTTCCTTAAAACTCTGACAGTGTCCTACCAAACAATGCACTTTGGAAGACGGTAATTGGTTGATCCCAATGTCGAGCACCGAAGTAACAGGCTAACTAGCAGACACCACACTGACAATCATTTACAAACGAGAATTAGCGAACTACTGTCATATTTTCAAACGATACGAATATTTCTCTCCTCAAGAAGTTCATTTTCCAGCAACTGCGGTGTTGACGGGTCCCGTATAAAGAACAATTAACCGTGCGTTTTACTTAATTATTTGTAAATACTTTCATCGCTTCGGTGTCAATCGGTAGTTACTTCGGTTCGAACATTCGACAAATGCCACGATCTTCGCGTAATGTTCGCTTAGTCTGGACCGGGGATCCTCCGAGGGACGAAGGAACTAAGCCTGACAAATTACGATTCGACTTACCCGAATCTTCATCGCCAATTCACGTTTCTCGCTTCGTTTACGAAATGGAAACACGAATACGTGAGAATTAAAAGCGAAGGGTCGGTGGGAACCCATGAGGCGCCATGTTCTCTTAATTTCTCGCTTCACAACGAAATTTCTGGCAGGAAGGGCTCCACGTGTATTTGCTGGGAGAAATAACTCGGGTTTTTAACAGCTCGATCTATATACCTCTGCTATGTTTCTTCCAGCAATTATACAACACGTGGAACGAGTGGCGAAGGACGCAAACGAAGTAGAGTAGGGCCGTTGCGAGGGTAATATACGAATCTAATTTTTTTATTATCCTGGCATTACCTGATTCTCTTGTGCAATCGCGTTTCATCCAACAACCACCGAGATTACTTCATTGGACGACGTATTCGCTCGGAGAAGGTAATCCTTGTATTTTCTACCGTGTTCTTCGACCGTTTTAATCTTCTTTACGACTCTAAGGTGTTTTATAGCTTGACCATTTTGATAAACTCGACGGCACCTTCGAAGGACGTGTGGCTGGTACGTGACTCGTTGGATTTCTCAGATGAAGCGAAGCAGAGTCCAAGTGATCGTGGAGAGACGAAAGGATTCTCCATGTCTGTACATCGTCTGAAGACTCTAAGGAGAAACTTGTGAAAACGACGATGAAAGAAAGGAGACAACCTTCAAAAATCCTGTCGCACAACGAGGCAGAGAGGTGCTTCGGAAAGACGGCCTCAAATTATTTTGAGGTCAGAAGCGTCCGTTTCTTTGACGATTCGTGGGTACCAGCCTCGTTACCCGTTTCCCCGCATACGCAGGTCTTTTTAATCTTCGAATTCTAGCGCTAACGTATATGAAACTTACGTATATACGATGGACCATGTTTGTCATACCGCAACGTTTCTAAAAATTAAGGGGGGGGGGGGGTACACAAAAAAAAAAAAGAAAATATGTAAGAGACAGTTTTGTCCATGATTTTTCTATGATTTAGATGCAGAGAAAGGAAAAAATTTCTTAAGAAAATTCGCTGCAAAAACAATCAAAAAAAAGAAGAAGAAGAAGAAGAAGAAAAAGAAAAAATGCCAAGTGCAACTTTCTACGTTTAAATGTTACGTACAGGACGTGCTGTATAGTTTCTAGCTGACCCATTGAGAGAATTAGAAAGCATTCGCGACACGTAATCGATATCGTTGTTAACAAGGAGAAGTTTCAATCGCGAGGAATTCATATCATCTTCATCGTTTCGTAGATCGTCTAAAACCGATGTGATGCGAATGAAAAAGCCTGGAGCACGGAAGACCTTGAAACGATTCTTCATTATTTTGGCCAAGATTTACGTTGTTCTTTCTTCATCCTTCCGAAACACGACGACTACCTTCAGTAAAAGGGATCGCAGAGAATGCCACAAGAGAATACATCGCATTCTTCGAGACGCCGTTCACGGCTTACACGTAGAAATAACGAACCGCGCAATTCCTGCTCTGACGACCTGTGAGTTGAGCGCTGCGCATGCGCGGCGGTCATGCGCAGTCGTTCAGTGGCGTCATTCCAGCGGACCGGACTGCCGTAAGGAAAGGGTTAAAGCAATTTTCCATTTTTTCTTGTGGAAAATCTTCGGGAGGCATCTTCGACCTTTGGGAAAAGACTGAGGGTAGCGAGGGATTCCCCTCGACCACCACGACACGACCGGAGTTCGTGTCGGATTCCCCAAGCCACACGTAGAAAGGGGACAGTCTAAAATTCTTGAAGCCACAGTGTGGAGCGGAGGGCGTGTGCGATTCCCTGGATTGCACCGCAAACCGTGGAGAGTGTGGGATTCCCCG